GTACCTTTGTATTATATTTTCAAGTCAGGGATTGTGATGCCTCCTGCCTTGCCTTTGTTGCTCAGAGTTGCCTTTGCTATTATCAGTGTGTTCTGATTCCAGATGAATTTTAGGGGTGATTTCTCTAGATCTTTGAGGTATGTTGATGGTATTTTCATTGTGATTGCATTGAATCTGTATAACAGTTTTGGAAGACTAGCCATTTTCACAATATTTATTCTTCCTATCCATGAACAAGGGATGTCTTTCCATTTATGAGATCCTCTTCAATTTCTTTTTCAGGGCATTATAATTTTCCCTATATGGGTCTTTTCCTTTTTTGCTTGAGACTAATTCCTAAGTACTTCTTTTTCTTTTTTTTGGATGCTAGTGTGGAGGGAGTAGCTTCTCATATTTCTCTCTCAGTGATTTTGTTGTTAGTGTATAGAAATGCTATGAATTTTTGAGTATTGATTTTATATCCAGCTACATTGATGAATTTATTTATTATACCTAGGAGTCTTTCAATAGAGTTTTGGGTGTCTTCTATGTAGACTATCATGTCATCTGCAAATAATGATAATTTAACTTCCTCTTTTTCTACCTTTACCACTTTTATTTCTCTCTTATCTAATTGCTCTGGCTAGTATTTCCAGTACTATGTTGAATAAGAGTGGTGCTAAGCGACATCCTTGTCTTATGTCTGATTTTAAGGTAAAGGCCTTCAACTTTTGGCAATTTAATATGATGCTGGCTGTTGGTTTGTCATAGATGGCCTTCATCATATTGAGGTAAAGACCATCTATTCCAATTTTCTATAAGGTTCTTATCATGAATGAGTGGTGAACATTATCAAAAGCTTTTGCTGCATATATAGAAATGATCATGTGATTCTTACTTTTGCTTTACTGATATGGTGGGTTACATTGATTGATTTACATATGTTGAACCATCCCTGCATGCCTGGGATGAATCCCACTTGGCCATGGTATATAATCTTCTTGATGATTTGCTGCAATCTGTTTGCCAATATTTTACTGAGGATGTTTGCATCTGTGTTCATTAGGGAGATCGGTCTATAGTTCTCTTTTTTAGTTGGGTCTTTCTCCAGTTTTGGTACTAGAGTAATATTTGCTCCCAGGAATGACTTAGAAAGGATGGCTTCCCTTTCAATTTCACTGAAGCATTTGAGGAGTGTCGGCCTTAGGTCTTCTTTATAATTCTTGTAGAATTCTGCAGTGAATTCGGCTGGCCCTGGGCTCTTTTTGTAGGTAAGGACTTAATTACATTTTCAATTTCATTAACAGAAATTGGGTTACTCAGCAGTAAAATTTGAACCATCTTTGGTAGTTCATATGTTTCTAGGAATCTGCCCATTTCTTCTGTGTTACTGAACCCATTAGAGTAGAGGTTTTTGAAATAGGCATTGATGATCTTCTGTATTTCCACAGAGTTGTAGTGAGTTCACATTTTTCGCTCTTTATTGCATGAATTTGAGGTTTTTCTTCCCTTTTTAAATAAGGTTGGCTAGGGGCTTATAAATTTTATTTCTTCTTTCAAAGAACCAATTCTCTGATTCACTGATTCTTTGGATTATTTTCTTAGTAACTATTTCATTAAATTTCTGCTCTGAGTTTTATAATCTCCTCCCTTCTTTTGGCTTTGGTTTTGACTTGCTCTTTTTTTTCCTAGATGTTTGATGTGCAGCATCAGGTTGTTTATTTGTGTTTGCTGTGTTTTCCTGATTTGGGAACTCAGTGTAATAAATTTTCCACTAAGGATCACTTTCATTGCATCCCAGAGACTGTAGTAAGATGCGTTTGTATTTTCATTTGCTTGTAGTTATTGTTTAATTTCTTCTTTAATTTCCCCTGTGATCCACTGATTGTTCAAGAGTGTATTATGCAATTTCTGTGTGTTTCAAGTTTCTTTTTTCATTAATTTCTAGTTTCATGGCACTGTGATCTGATAACATGCAAGGGATAATTTCAATTCTTTTGCATTTACTTAAATATGTTCTGTGACCTAGTATGTGGTCCATTTTAGAGAATGCCCCATGTACTGCTGAGAAGAATGTATATTCTGATATTGTTGGATGGAACACTGTGTGTATGTCTATCAAGTCCTTTTTTTAACAGGTGTGATTCAGTTCTGTTATTTCTTTGCTGATTTTCTGTCTGGTTGATCCGTCCCTTGGTGTCAGTGGTGCATAGAGGTCTCTTATTATAATCATGTTATTGCTTATTTGATTTTTCATTTCTATTAATACTTGCTCTGTATACCTGGGTGCTCTGGAATTTGATGCATATATATTTAAGATTGTTATCTCTTCCTCTTGAAGTTTTCCCCTAACTAGTAGGTAGTGATCTTCTTCATCTCTTAGGATCATTCTTGGTTTGAAGTTCACATTGTCTGCAAACAGAATAGCTCCCCCTGCTTTTTGGGGGGTTCCTGTTGCATGAAGTATTGTTTTTCACTCTTCAACTTTCAGTCTGTGAGTTTCCTTGTGGGTTAGATGGGTTTCTTGTAGACAGCATATGGTTGAATGTTGTTTCTTGATCCATTATGCCAGTCTGTTTCCTTTAATTGGTGAATTGAGATCATTCACATTAATGGTTATAACTTATATATTGGTTTATTGTTGACATGTTATCTTTCTACTGTTGCTTCTTTATCTTTCCATTCTATTAATTGCCTTGCTTACTGAATTTTTCCTATGTCTATCTATACTGTCTTTCAGTATTTTCTGCAGGGTTGTTCTGGTGATCAAGAAATTCTTCAGTTGTTCTTTGTCATGGAAGTATCTTATTTCTCCATCTATTTTGAAGGATAGTTTTGTAGGTTACATCAATCAGTCTAGATTGGAAATCATTTTCCTTTAGGATCTGAAATACTTCATGTTTTTCTTGACTTCATTGTTTGTGTTGAGAAGTCTGCTGTGATTCTGATAGGTTTTCCTTTATAGGTCATCTGTGTTTTGTCTCTGAAAACTTTTTATATTCTATTCTTATGTTGCATTTCTGGGATGGTGATTATTGTATGTCTGAGTGTAGTTTTATTTTGGTTATGGATATTTAGAGTTCTTTATGCTTCACTAATCCATGTGTTAGTTTCCATTCTCCTGTTTGGGAAATTTTCAGCTATTACTTCTGTAAGTAGTCTCTTGATCTCTTTTGTGTTGTCCCCTTCTTTTTCACTTATCCCTATCAATCTTATGTTGTTTTTCTTTGAATCATGCAGCTGTTGAATTTTTATTTCCTAATTCCTTATTTTTAAAAGACATTTCATTTCCTGCTCATTAGCTGCAATTTTATCTACGAGTTCTGAAATTCTATCTTCACTTTCTTGACAACTTTCAATGGAATTTTTGATTTCCTGTATATCTCTTTGAATCTCCTTCATGTTTCTGTTTTTTCCTTCTGTTGTTCATCTAGGGATTCTATCTTTTTGTTTTGTTTCTCTAATTTTTTAACTGTGTCTGCTTTGATGTGTGCAGCATCTCTTTCATTACTTTTATCATTTCTTCTTTTACCTGGGAGATTTATTTCTCATTTGAATTCCTTTAAAGCTTCCCAGAGTTGCTTCTTTATTTCAGTTGCTATTATTTCAAGTCTATGCATATATTTTTTATATGTACGTCACTCCTAGGCTTTCTTGGGATGGGCTGGGTGTTTGAGATTGCATTGTGTTCTTTCATTTTGTCGCTTTCCTATATTTCTGTGTTTCAAGTGATTTTCTCAAGCTTCCCCTGGGCGTGTTGGACATCATCTCCTATGCCTCTGGGTCCTGGTACTGAATGGAGATTGCTGAGTGTGTCCATTAGGCCCATAGGACCTCCCGTGCCACCTCCAGTGTTCCAGGAACTTGGGCAGGCACCTAACAACTGTGTATGATGGGCCAAAGCTCTCCCTGGGCAAGTTCCAATGCTCTGGAATTCACTTCATGTGTCCTCAACTCCCTTGATTGAGAAAGATCCCTGGGTGTGGTCTAGTTGACCTAGTGTAGTATGCCTAGAAGTTGGGCAGGTACCTAACAACTGGGAGTGATGATTTTAAACTCTGCCCGGGGCCTGCCGCTGGGTGCAGGAACTTACCACTGGCAGCCCAGTTCCCAGGATTGAAAGAAGGTCACTAACTTGAGACTTTTATAGGTAAATGGATGCAACTGGAGACCAACTCATAAGTGAAATAAATCACTAATATGTGTAAACATCAAATAGTCTCCTTGGTGGGAGAAACTTAAAGAGTAAATAAGGACCAAAATGTACAGCAGATATTATGAAATGGAAAGGTAATGTTCAAAAGGAATGAGCAACGTGGTTGGGGAAAAGGAAAAAAAAACACAGGAAAGTTATACTACTAGTTTCTCTTAGTTCATTGAAAAGACAGGTTTGTGCTAATACTGTCTTGAGAGATCTTTTTTCCCATTTTTTGTAGTCTGGTGACATGCTGTCTCTAACAATACAACCAAAAATAAAGTAAAATAAAATATACACAAAAGAAATTCAATAGATGTGACAGTTTCTCCTTCAGACTGGTCATTAACTTAACCCGTTAAGTCATTGATCAGAAAACAAAGAAGCTCAGCCTTTCTCAGGACCATGCCTCCCTAGGTAGGATTTGTTAATAAGTGAGCTTAGTTCTAAGGAAAATACAAATATGCCACATTCTTTTACCAGAGTAAAACACTGTGTACCTCAAATGTGCTCTTTTTGCTGCTAATTCTGGGAAACGCAGTACCCAATGACAGAAGGATTTCCCTTATTTGTTGGGTAATACTGATTCTGCTTTTTTTTTTTTTGGTACTGGGGATCGAACTCAAGACCTTGCACTTGCCGGGCAGGCAATTAAGCCACTGAGCTAAATCCCCAGCTCCTGTTCCTTGCTTTCTTTACACATGTCAAATCGGTTTGGCCAGCATGGCATTCCTTACTTACAAGGGATCTTGCAAGCCCATCACTGTGTAAATTATCATGATGCATACTGTGAGTTTCACATCAATCCTTCCCCACGAGTACATACCGGTACATCCTGATCCAACAGATATGCACCATGCCCTTGACTGATAGCTGCTCTGTATTGTTGTTGGGCTTCTTCCTTGTCCTTAATCTGGAAGACATTTTTAAAACGACTTATTATTCCAGGCATGGTGGTGCATACCTGTAATCCCAGCACTCCAGAGTCTGAGGCAGGAGGATTGCCCTGTGTTCGAGGCCAGCCTGGGTTACATAAGTCAGTTCAAGGCAGCCTATACTACAAAGCTAGAGCCTGTCTCAAAAAAAAAAAAAAAAAAAAAAAAAAAAAAGAAAACAAACCTAAAAACATCCATTATAATGAGACTTCACAATAGCTGATAGGCAAGACCTTGAGGCAACTGTGATACAGAAAAATGGGTAGGCAGCTGTGGTACTACAATAAAGAGGACAGGAAAATGGTAAACTAAGAATAAACTGGAAGAAACTGGTGGGAGTGGGGTCAGTGGCACATGATTGTGATCCCAGCATTCTGAGAGTCTGAGGCAAGAGCTCAAGCTCAGTCTGGGAAACTTGGTAACACAGAGAAACTGTCTCAAAATTAAAAATAGGAATAGACTGGGGATGTAACTTAATGCAAAGGCCAGGACTCAATCCCCTACATGACACATAAAAGAAAAGGGAAGGAAAGAGAAAGGAAAGAAGAAGGCAACGAATCAGACAGATGACTTTTCACTTCACTGTAACAACTTTCCTTATGTAACACATGATTTGAGCTATGTGTAAAACTAGCACCTGTGCATTAACAATTTCCACTTACCCCAAACTATTTTTTTTAGGAAAAAACCATCAATATTAGTTATGCCCTTTTTGAGACCCCATAACATTGAAACGCATGACTGTTTTGTCTGTGCTGCTTTTCAGTAACAAAACTTTTGCTTCAAAACTGCTTTGTCTGATTTCTGTACCACTTGAAACACAGGAATTAAGGATCCCACTATAACTTCAGACTTTAATAGGAAAAGTTACATTAATGTTTTTGAAAACAGAAAACTAAATCTTAAAATAAATGAAAACATATAATAAGATCATCAAAATGTATTTGATATAAATTTGAACTGGAGAAGTACAGGTAAGTAGAATTCTCTGCAAATTAGGATTAAAATATTTCAGTCATCTAGACTTCATCCTGTACACTTATAATCCCAACACTCTGGGAGGCTGAGATAGGAAGACTGCAAGTTTGAGACCAGGCAACATATTGACTTCAGGAGATTCTATCACAAAAAATAAAAAGGTCTGGAGACTAGCTAGGCAAAGGCCCTTTAATCATCAGCAACACACACACACACACACACACACACACACACACACACAATCAGAATCAGTAGTTGAAAAAAAACCGGAACTACACAGAGAAAAATAAAAGTTTATTAACAATTATACGTCATAACTGCAGTCAGGGGCTAGTCCTTAGAGTAGAAACAGAATGAATCAATTCTCATTCCTTTCTTTTCTTCTACCCTCCTTTGCTCTTGGTCTTCCTTCTTCTTCTCTGTTCCTCTCCATTTTTTTTCTTTCTGACTTTCCTTCTAGCGCTAGGAATTGAATTTAGGCTCTCAAAATTCTACCACTGAACTACATCTCCAGTTCCAACAGTTCTTTTGGTACAATTTTTCTTGGACAATTACAATAACAGCCTTTACTTTGGCCTGACTTTCATAGCAAGATACAGAAGATTCATTTTTGCAAAAATATAAACAGGGTTCCACCAATTTTCAACTCTACTTCTCTTAAACTTGTGATAATGAAATTACCTTTTAAAAATATTGCCTAAGCAAAGAATTTTCAACATGATGATGAGGATTGGACAGGTAGGAAGAGAAATCAGTTAATCGGAAAGGAATGTTAAGCAAAAGCCAACTATGTGAGTTGGTCCTTTCAAAGAATATTTGTCTTTTGTTTTTTGAAAGGCTGCTACTCAAGTCTAGATAAGAAAGTTCTTGTACCCTTACCTTGCCCACAATGTGCTTCCTGTTTATGAAGGCCTCAAAGCCACACACAGCTGCCTTGTCATCCAGCGGAAAGATGTATTTTGCCTCAATGGGCACGTGACTCTGATTTGTGTAAGTCTGAAACACTGTGACCTGAAGAACAAATCCACATACTTGAATAAACTCCATGGAACATCTTTAGGAACAACAAATAATGAAGATACACATTATATATACACTAGACATGTTCATTTTATTTTAAAGAGAAAAAAATTTCCAAACACAACAATTAGGGGGCAACAATGGTATATACCTTCATATTGTTATCCTCCAATCAGTTACTCAGAGTACAAGACATCTGCCTTTAATCGTATGAACAACACTAGCACAAACCTTTATCTTCAATGAACTCAGGGAAATCTTTTATGTACATAGTTTTTTTCAGCTCATGTTCATTTTTGATTCCATGAATTTTTCTCTTTTATCTTATATTTTACACTTTAGGAGTTTTTTACATAAGATAATCATTAGGTATTTAAGGTTGCGTGTGTAAGTTACTTTGCTTAACATTACAGTCTCAAAGTGTATCTATTTTTCCTTCAAAAGACCAAAGTGTATCCTTCTTTATGGCAGTATAGTACTCCATCGTGTGATTCCTTGAATTTTTGTCACATTCCTTGAATTTCTACCCCTAGGTTCACAGGTTAATGCACTCCTACATTTCAAAGGAAAGTCAATATCAAGTGACAAAATGTCAGTAACATATATATTTAGTTGTTCATACACATATGGCTAGGGTGCAAGTCTTGGAAATGCTGAAGCAACATATTAAGATGGCTAGGAAAAAATCCTTTCCCAAGATGTGGACTTTTTTTTGGTGGTGGTGGTGGTGATGGTCCTGAGGATTGAGCCCAGGACCTGGTACATGCTAGGCAAGCACACTAACACTGAGCTACAGCCACAGTCCTCTTCTCCTTTTCTTATTTTGAAACAGGGTCATGTTAAGTTGCCCAGGGCAGCCCCAAATTTGATTCTCCCACTTCAGTCTTCCATAGTGCTGGGATTACATCTGTACTGAACACTTATGGCCTATTCTCTCCTTGCCATATTATTCTCTAAGCAAACATTATAATGGGCATATTTTGTTTAGTTCATGTAACTTCAATCAAATTTCAAATTCTCATTTATGATTTATATCCAACTAGTCAGATATCATAAAGTACAGAAAACATACCTGGGCTACAAAGTCTATTATTCTTCCCTTGATGTGAACATCCTCAAGAGGAACCAAGTTTCCAGAAGCATCTTGAAGGCCAGCCTTGACACTGCTGGAAGGCTTTACCTCTGGTATCTGGTAATCTAGATATTACAAATATTAGTGTTAACCTTTAAAACCTTGCCTGCCCTATCTATTTTTATGTTGACCTTTATTCAGTTTCATCCCCACACATATTACATTTTGGGAGAAAATGAACAACTAACATTATTATTTTCAATAGCCAATTCTAAAAAGTGAATGACTCCACATGAGAAAAGGGAGTATTTTCAAAGCACTTCTGCCATTTTTATTTTTAAATTGCACTTTGGGGATTGTTATGGTTCATACATTGTGCCAACCTGAGAAATCTAGAAGCTTAACTAAGTAACTCAGCTGCCATACTTCCTGGGGTGTAGAGAACAAGCAGTTAGCATTCTAGGATACTATTCATTGTGTCAATGTGAGAAGGTCAAAACTAAATGATTCAGCATGGGTCCAAGGTCTCTAGTGTGTAACATCCTCAGCCTGTGCAACAGGAGGGTATAAGTGCTGCACCCACCTCAGGGGAGCAGCCTGCATGCAATAAAAGTCAAATGAGGAGGGACTGACTTCTTCTTTCCAAGAGGTAGTTTGTTTGGTCATCGCCTTCAGGCTTGGATGTGGTCTCCTGGCTGCTAGCACAGACTGGCTTCTGCCTGGGATTCTTCAGCTTTCTTTGCAGATTCTTCAGCCATCCATCATAGATTCTTCAGTGTTCTATCGCAGACTCATCAGCCTCCTCATATGGACTTGTATGGGACATAGCAGGAGCTCCAGCCCTTGGGCTGAACCTTTCAACATTTAGCACACAGACATCCTCTGCACAATTCCTTATTCAACTCTGTGGCTGACCATTGTAAGCCAATCTTATAATTTCCTATACAGTTGTGTATCTTGTGTTATGTCTGTTTCTCTAGTAAACCCTGACTCATACAGGGACTAAACAGGACTTAATATAGTTAAGTGTTCCACCATGAAGCTCTACTCCTAGCTCACTTCTGAAGCTTTGAAGTATCATTTCACAAACAAGAAATTATGCTATTATTTGAAAGATTTACACCTCAACATATACAGAGGCCTTAGATTATCTCAATAAGTACAAGCTGAAACATAAACCTAGTTACCTGCATCCCCTAGTCATGCTGAATTGGGCAGTCACAATTATTTACTGTGCCACAGAAACATTTTGGAGCAATACGAAATCTATCTAAATAGATCTTTCAATCCAAGAAGATGAAAACTCCTACCACTGCATATACTGGAAACTGTTCACATCATTTACCAACCAGTACAAAAATCAGATATAAAGATATCTGTATCTACACATCTGTATTTGTATTATCTATATTTGTCTATCTTGTTGCATATTTCATTTAATGAAAGAGAAAAAATTGGGGTCATCCATTTGAACAAATATGAATGAACACATATTTCTCCCTGCGTGTGTATGTGTGTGTGTGCGCGTGCATACATGCACATGCACAGGATATGGGAATTGAAGCCAAGGACTTTGCACTGAGTTACACCCCCACCCTTTTTTATTCTGAGAGAATCTCACTAAGTCACTAAGTTATCCAGGCTGGGCTCAACTTTTGCTCTCCCTGCTTTAGCCTCCCATTTTTGAATTACAGGGATGTACTACTAAGTTCAGCTATACGTACAATTCTGATAAAAAAAGACTAATGGGTATATAACCCAGTGACAGACTGCCTGCCTAGCATATGCAAGCCCCTTGTGTCCAATTCTTGGCACTAAATAAGAAATAAAATATAATTTAATCATAACCAAAAAGGGGAAAGGGACAGGTCTGGGGGTGGAGACAAGGACAGGAATGAGGACAGGGCTGGGACAGGTTTGTTTGGAGACAGGGTTTTGCTATGTTGCCCAGGCTGATCTCGAATTCCTGGGCTCAAGTGATCCTCCTATCTCAGCCTCCTGAGTAGCTGGGACAATTAGAACACATCCCCACAGTCAGTCTGTTAACATGCTTTTAAGTCCTACTAAGCAACATTATAATAACTTGAGTTCATGAATTTCTGATACACTCTCACACTCTTACATAACTGTACTTCTACAGACATGTAAGTGGCTCATTATGGTCTATGTCAGACTGTCACTCTCCCCCTTCTTCATGACATGCAGATACCATTCTCATTCCTACCTGAAGGAAGCTGGCGTACCGACAGGTTACATGACCTGTCCATAACAAATTAATCCATTTGCACAGCCTACTAAGCAGTACAACTGACACTTAAAATCAAGCTTCCTGACTCTAAAGCCATCTTCTTTCTATTCTATTCATCTCAATCATGCTTTTTGCACTTTGACATCTTAAAATTGTACCATAGGTGCTGTGGCTTGGAAGTAGTTTGGCCTCCAAAGGTCCATGTGCTGGAAGCTTGGTCCCCTGTGCAGTGATGTGTAGGGCATTGGGTCCTTGAAGAAGCAGAGTGGGCCTAGAGGGCTCTCCCTCTCCTGCTTTGCCCTCCATCTGCCCAAATCTGTAGGCTACCCATATGTCTTTAATAACATAGCCTCAGGTATTTCATTATAGTAACAAACAGAAGATAAATACAGCAGGTTTTATTACTGGGGTTATTCCTGAGGGAAACATGCTCAACTTAATGATGGAACATGGAATTTTGATTATCACTCAAACTTGCTTGAGCAACTTGGATTTTTTTGTATATAAAATTTAAAAAAGGAAAATGAAATATTTATGTGTGAGATTACAGGTATTATCACACATGCATATAAATTCTACTGAAATCACAACTAACAAACAAATAAACAAAAACAGCATTCCGGAAAACTGTCTTACCTTCAACCTTTGAGGTATCTAAAAACTCAGGTCTGTATTCTTCTACTTTGCTACTATCATGAGGATAAAAGTCCTTTATCTGATCTCCAGGCATGCAAAATTTAATAATATATTTCATTTTAACCTGATTTGTTTTATATACAACAAATTCATCATCCTAGAACAAATAGAAATTAACAGATGGTAAAAACAATAACAGAGCTTCATAGGTAGTAATCTCCAAAGAGCAGAATTTCACATTTGCTAATGCAGAAAACACAGAATCCAGGCAGTATATGTACAAAATAATATTTTTTTTTTGTCTTTTTCATTTTTACCGGTACCAGGGATCGAACTCACGACTGCCTGCATGCAAGGCAGGCACTTATGCCGCTGAGCTAAATCCCCAGCCCCGTACAAAATAATTTAATTGAAAGTATAACTAATAAAAATAGGGATAAAAACCTAAGGCTATTCTTTGCGTATTCAGATCTCTCTTCACCTTTTTAAAAAAAAAAAAAAAACCTGTTTGATTTTCTGCTTGTGATAGTGAGGAATAAATCTGAGGCCTTAAACAGGCTAAGCAAGTGTTCTTCCACTGAGCTACACCCCAAGCCCTGCCTGTTTCCTGATATAAAAATACCTCAAAATCTGTAGGCACAGAGGCTGTTGCTGAAACTCCATGCACACTGTCGTAGCCCAGAGGTGCTTCAGTTAAGGAGAAGTCCTTCTTGAATAAATCCACACATCTTCCAAGGGCCACATCACAGATGACCAGCAGTCTGGAACCATCTGTCTCCCCTGGTTGTGAGTACTTAATGCTTGTACTGCATGAGAAAGGAAATAAGCACATATTTCATCATTTACAGGTATATGCCAACATGTTATTACATAAATAGAAAACACAGGTTGAATATATCTGACCCAAAATTCTGAATGCAAGATATGAAATATTCCACAAACAGAAAATTCCACACCTTATTTCATCTGATCAGTTGCAACCAAAACACAAGTACACTAAAAAGTGTATAAAACCACCTTCAGGGTAGGTGCAGAAAGTATACAGAAAACATAAATGGGTTTCATGGTTAGACTTGAAATCCCAACTCTGAGAGCTCATTATTCAACCCCACATCTGAAAAATAATCCAAAATTCAATGTAATGGTTGATACATCATGTCAACTTGAGAACTGAGTTTAGAAGCAGGGGTCCAGGGTCATCACTCTACTCTGTAAATATCCTGAGCCTGTGCAGAGGAGTTTGGAGAATGTGTGAGCAGGTAGCCTGCATAAAATGTAAGGGAAAAGAAGCAGCTCTCCCAGCTTTTGCTCTTGCTGGTTTTGCTGTCTTCTACCACCTTTAAGTGTTGCCCCCGTGCCATGCCACCCTGCCTTGGAGCCAGCTGAATGGACTGAAACCTCCACAAACTGTGAACTAAACAAACCTTTCCTTCCTTCATTTTGGGTGCTGGGTATTTTGTCCAGCAATGAGAGAAAAGTAACCAATACATTCAACATATTTTTTTTATTACAAAAATTTCAGTAAGGCATATTGAACCTATACGGTTGAAAAAATTTTTACTAGTGAACCAATTTTATTGCTACTGAAATATCTTCAAAGATTCAAGTTAGAACTTCATTCTAGACATGATAAAATTTTTGCAATGCTGGAAATTGAATCTACAGTCTCACATATGATAGGCAAGCATTCTACCATGGAGAAACATACTCAGTTCCATTGAAAAGTCTTAACATAAACCTACGTGTGGTGGCACAGGTGTATAATCCCAGTACTCAAGCAGACGGATGGCAAGTTTGAGCCAGCCTAGGCAATTTAGCATTTTAGTGAGACATTGTCTCAAAGTAAAAAAAAAGGCTGGAAATGTTATTATGAAGGCCCTGGGTTCAATTCCCATAATGCAAAATATTTTAATATAACAAAGATATATATTATCTTTAATTATGCAGTAATCAATGCACTTTGTTTCTATGGAGAAAATTCTAGCGATTCTCCAAATCTCTGTTAGCTACTGAAATATGTGATGGTCAAAAAATGATGGACTCCAAAAAATTAAAAGGAAGCTCTTTACTAGATGAGCTCAGCGGTGACACTGTCCCAGAAAGCAGTCAGGGAAGTGTGCCCTGAGCAAGGAGCTGCAGGGTGTTATAAAGCAGCAAACCACAAGGGGAGGGATCAGGGTCTTAGGATCAGCTTGTCTCCAAAAAAGGTAATTTGGCTTAGTTTTACAGGAACCAGGGAGGCAGAACAAGCAGTTACAGGAACCAGGAGGCAGGGAACTGGGTTACATGGTGGGTATGCTATAAAATTGCAACTTAGCTGGTAATTACACAAGATTTACAGAAAGAGAACAAGTTATAAAGGCACATTAAGTAATAAGTACAGCACATTTTGGGTTTCTGAGTTTATGACAAAATATATATATTTTGTTATAATAAATGCCAAAGAAAAAATAGCCTACCTTATTAATTTGGGAAATTACATTGAATTTTCTGCATTGAAGTTCAGAAAGAACATTAAATATCACGAGTAAGAACTACTCAAAGGGAAACACAGCCATTATATTCTCACCTTCTGAATCCAAATGTAAAAATAAAAATTCCAGCCAAGTGTGGTGGTACACACCTATATTCTCAGCACTTGGGAAGCTGATGCAGGATTGCCACAAATCTGAAGCTGTCTCAAAGGAAACTAATAAATAAATGATTCCCAAAGGAGAGATTGTGTTTCCTTTTCTTTGGAGATTAGTGGCTTCAATAAAGAATATCTTGCAGGTTAGGGAATACTTTCAGGGCACCATTTTTGGAATACAGCTTTATATTTTTTAAAGTCAAGTCCAAAATGTCAAAGCACTGCTAAGAGGGCTTTTCTTGGTTCCATGCCCTAAGACTTACATTTTTTAGCAAAAGAGACAGTTTCCCTATTCCTTCTCCACATTCCCTCCCTTTCATGAGTGCTGCCCCTGTAACTTACAGACACACTGAAGTCCAGTCTTGAGTTTGCCTTCTCACAACTCCCTTCCCATGGGAGTCCAGAGAAATATCTTCTTGCCCGTCTACTGACTGCTATTCCAACCACTATAATTTGCTGTTTAGAATTCTCTTTTTAAACAAAGAAAACCATTGGAAAATTGACTGCATGCAGGGGATGGAAGCACTCGACTTCTCTCTTCAGACTTCCTCACTTAGAGCCACTCTGCAACAGTCACCGAGGACTTTGGCTTCATTAGTCACCCGAATGTCCACAAAAATACAGCAGCATGTAACCATTTTACCTTGTACTAGTTTGCACTAGCAATGTAAAATTTAAGTGGACAATAACAATGAAAACAACTTCATATGCAAGCACTTAGTTTAAGAATAGGAGGAGTTTTGGGGGTTGCAGAAACAAGGATGCTGACTTCAGAGAAAGACAGCAAAGGTCTAGCCTGACCTGCATCCCCTTGTTCTTTTTGGTTAAGACAGGGTCTTGCTGTGTAGTTCAGGGTAACCTTGGACTCATTATGTAGGCTGGCTTCAAACTTCTGGCAATTTTCCTATCTCAGTCTCCTGAGTGCTGGGATTATTGGCATGTACCATTATGCGTGATCTTCCACCCATTTTAGCTGTACCTTCTGAGGCAAGATCCTCTCAGTATTTCCATATGGGATATGGGAATAGTAAGCAGAGTTACCTACAGGCCATTGCAAGGACTGAGTAAGAAAGTGTATATAACATCTCTAAGAGAGAATAACGACTAAGATAATTTCAACTATAATTTCCCCAAACAAAAGATGCTTCTATATATCGAGAAAACAAGTTGCATTTTATGATGTGTCATAGGTAAAACCTTTACCAAAAAAAGATGGAGGAAAATGAACAGCAGATCTAACAGCGATTCCTGGGCAATGGGCAGGACTTTTTGGTGCAAAAGAGAATATATTAACCTCAGTGAGTCACTGAAATAAATACCACTTCCCAGATTTCCAACGTCTGTTCTTTGTACTCCACGATCTTCAACTACTTTAGGTAAAAGCAATCCTCTGAAAAGAAAAGAGTATTATAAACATCTGCCAGAAACAGGAATCTTTTATTATAACTTCATAATTCTACTGGGACAGAAGCTAATTTAAAAACATGCATGACATGCATAACCTTAAGAATGTTATGTGAAAGCAGAGTCGGGCCCCTGTACCTGTGAGTCCACTTCCACAGTCAACCAGGAGGTGGAAATACTTAAAAAAAAAATTTTGTCTTCACTGCACATGTACAGTCTTTTTGCTAGTTGTTATTCCCTAAACAACACAATATAATAGCTATCTCTGTGGTATTTATACATTATAAAACATAATATTTTATAATACAAATAATTTCTAGAGGTACTTTAAGCATATTGGAACAGCTAGATAGGTTCTATGGGAAAGATTACACTATCTTATGTAAGACCCTCAAGCATGGGGGAAGATTTGGATGAGACAGCCCTGGACACAATTCTCTGGGCATACCAAAGGATTACTGTAGTCCCCCAGTGGAGAACCCTGTACCACTGAAAAGCCACCAGCCATGGCTGGTGTCTCATGGCTAGCTAATACCTCCTCCAGAAGAGGCCCAGTGCAAGCCCCATGTTGACTGCATGTGTCCCTCACTCAGGACCATGTGCTGGGCTTCGAGCATTCAGAGGCCTCATCATAGTCCAAGTGAAGTCGTAGTTATTCCCAGAAAGAGAGGCAAAGGGAGACTTTAACATTTTATGATTACAAACATCTATTACTTCTTTGCTTTTGTGACTGGATTTCTTTATAGAGCACAGGCTAGCCCTGAACTCCTTATGTGGCCCAAACTGGCCTTGAACTTCTGATCTGACTGCCCCATCCGCTGGAATGCCAGGACTAGAGTGGTGTGACACCATGCCTGGTTATGAACATTTACTGTTTGAATTTTATGTTAAGAGGTTTTTGTTTCATAGGTTTTTTTGTTTTTGTAGTAATAGCAGTTGAACCAAGGGTCTTAAAAAATATCCTTAGCTCTTCTCATATTTTAAATTTTGAGATAGTGTCTCATAAGTTTCTAGGTTTCCCAGGTAAGGTTTAAACTTTCAGTGCTCCTGTTTCAGCCTCCTAGAGTGCTGGGATTACAGTATGTGCTACCAAGCCTAGTTTATATATTTCTTAACTTGCTTGTGATTTGTTTGCATTGTTTTGCAATGTAGGGATCAAATGCAGGGTTCTCATGCAATCCAGGCAAGCCCTCTACCACTGAGCTACATGTCAGTCTTTAAGTTTCTTAAGTACTTAATTAATGTATATAAAAGAACTCATAACTCTCCCTTGCACCTGTGACTTCAGATTTTGCCTTAATATTACATTATGCAAAGGAAACAAAATTAGAGTTGTACTTTATTTTTTAATATCATTTTATTTTGAAATAATTACTGACTCTCAGGTGGTTGCAGAATAGAGTTGTGCTTTAAATAAATAATTCACAGTATAGGGGTGCTCTTTTTAGACCTCTCTGTTTTTAGTGTTAGGATACCTAAATTAGATCCACATGGAAGAGTCATGAAATGACTCTTTCCATACAACACAGACTTCAGGGAGCAATCATATCTGTGTAACACAGTTTAAAAAAAAATAACAAATACTGGCCAGGTGTGGTGGCATACACTTATAATTCCAGCACTATAGGAGGCTGAGGCAGCAGTTTGAGGACAGCATGGGATACAAAGTGAATTGAAACTAGTCTAAACTGCATAGTGAAACACTGACTTTTAAAAGACAAAAAAAGTTAAAAAACAATATATACACTCAAATGGAGAATTTATTCTTTACTAATGACTTAAAGTATTTTTTTCTTATCGGTACCAGGGATCGAACTCATGACCGCCTGCTTGCAAGGCAGGTGCTTATGCCACTGAGCATAAGCATGACTTTAAGTATTCTATTACAAAAATGTCAATGGATTCAAATACAATATACCAACTTTTGGATATACAAAGAGAATAAAATTGTTTTCTAAAATTGTGTTCTAAAGAAAACAATTAAATATGTAACAGATTATGTACTTGATGATGATGTGCATAATTTTCTCTAGAATACACTAAATCATCTGTTTTTAATTGAAAAGACCCATGTCCTTGGGATCAAAGACCTATATAACTTTTTTATCAGTACATGTTTGTAGTAATACATTTCACAATCATCTTGTACAGTTGGTACATATACAAATACAGCTTGTTTCTTTTTTCTGTCTTTTAATTCATTGTTCTACTCCTTCCTGCTTCTTCCAAAAATTCTTTCTTTCCAATTTTTCATTTTTGTTGATATTATTAACCTTAGTTCATTTATAATATCCATATTCACTGAGGTTATTAGAGCCTTACTCAAATGAAACATACTATATAGAGCTTATGTGATTTATTTCACTCAATATTTTATTTTCCATATGCATTCATTTTTCTATAAATGTCTCAAACTTGTTCTTCTTTATAGCTGAGTAGTACTCCATTATGTATAGGCACCACATTTTTTTATTGAAGTCTGTTGCTGGGTATATAAGCTACTTCTGAGATTTAGCTATCATGAACTGTGATGATATAAACATTGGTATGTATATATGGCTATGGTACGATGTGTAAAAATCTTTGAGGAAGATAGATAGGAGGGAATATCTAGGTCATACAGAATTTCTCATTTCAGTTCTTCAAGGACTCTTCAGATTGATTTCCATAATGGTTGTAGTAGTTTACATTCCCACCAACAATCTACATGAGTTCAATAGCATTTGTTATATAATATATATAGTTTAGAAAAAAGGAAGAAAGAAAGGAGGCTCATATTTGTGAGCCTGAAACTTTAGAAAGATGAAGAGGCCATACTCTTACCGGGACAAGATTCCTACAATGTTTCGTACAAGAGATCCATGCAACAAGGCCCTTGTGTTGCCAAGTTTGCTTAAAAATTCTGTGGCTTCACTCACTCTGCCAATGCTAAATATCTGCAAGATGTCTACTGGAGTTTCACTGTAAGAATTAGAAGACAAACCTTGAGATTGCATAATTAGAAGCAAATAAAAAAATCAGTATTTAAGAAGAAATCCCACAGGCATTAAAAAATCACGTTAATAGAAAACAAAGATATGATGTAAAATTTACTGTCAAATATGTTTTTTCTCTGAAATAAAAGATTTTACAGATGATGGCCAGAAAAAGAAAGGATCAGGTCCCAAGACAAGTTCCTATGATTACTGGCCACAGAGCAAGACAGCAATTAAAAAAATGTCCCCATAGTTAAAATTATAGTTTAAAAGATGACAAATCCCTATGCATAATAAGTCAAACTTTTTCAACTGTGTAACATGGAAAATATATAGGTTCTTTCATGTATAATATGCATGATAACAGACTGACTGGGTTCCTTCAATCAACAAACATAAGCTATACAGAATATTCTAGGAATTGATAGTAAGATAATGTAGTCCTTTTGGCTTCATAGACTTTTAATTTTAATAAGATAAAGTTACAAATTTATCAACTATCTTGTTTCATGTACTAAGGAAAACAACCAGGTTCAGAGGAAGTTTGGTCAGGAATGCCACCCTTTAGAAGTGACATTTATTGCACACAGAAAAAAAATGTGCATTTTTCCCTTTTGTTTTGTTTTGTTCTGCTTTGTTTTGAGAGTCTAGCTAAGTAGTTCAGTCAGTACTTCAAATCACTTTGTAGCCTAGGCTGGCCTCAGACTTGCAGTGATCCTCCAGACTCAGCCTCCCAAGTGCCAGGATTACAGGTGTGTGCTACCATGCCCAGCTCCAATATTATTTTAAGGTCTAACCAACTGTTAACAGGAAATGATATGGGGCAATTGTGGAAGGTATGGCAGGGAACATAAGAGAGGAGGAGACGGCAGAGTAAACAGGATAATGTGATCCAAAGACAGCAGGAAAGTGAGTGCAAGGAAGCTAACGGGTGAAAGATGTTCTGGAGGCAGAATGGACATGGTGATGTGGGGACAGGCAGTTCTGGGTGGGTGACTCAGCTGGGGTGACATGGGAAGAAACTGGGAGTGCCGCTGAAGGTTGGTGCTGTAGGATGAAGAAGGGCCAGAGAGCCCACGTTCAGAGGCAGCCCACTGTTATCTTGCCAGTGACTACAGAGGGGATCCATGCACGAGAGAAATCAGCAGAAGTTACCAGCAGAGACATTCATTTCTGAGACTGGGCCTACCAGCACCCAGAGAGCTTAGCAGAAGGACAGAATCATTCAATCTGGGTTATGCTCTACATCAAAATGTCAACAGTGCTTATCTTATCTCTTAAGTGATGAGATGCTTTTTTAACTTCCTTCATAGTGCTACATGGTTTCTAAACTTTTAGCAAAGGACATTGTATTGGTCAGCTATCTAACATCCAGGACAGAATGTCTGATACAAATAAGTTAAAGAAGAAAATGAGCATGGCAGGGGACTTCCGGGAGAACATGGCAGATAGATAGCAGCAGGGACAGAGGCTCTCTGAGATGCCCCACTTAAAATCCAGGAATGGTGCAGTACGAGAAGTCCTAAGCAAGGGGAGATACACCCTGCCGACCCAGGAATGAACTAAGCTAAGAGAAACCAACTGGAAATCTAATCCTGATGCTATAACAGGAACAGATAAAATCTCAGCATGGGAAGCTAGAACCCGCGCTACTGGAAGCCGCGATTTGAATTTCCTGCTGCCACTGCTGCATCCAAATCTGCAGGGCAGGGAGAGAGAGACGCGCGAAAGCTCTGAGAAGGAATCTGCCAAGAGAGTTGAGAGCAGGACTAGCAGGGAGCCCTACATCGACTTGTAGATGAGTGAGCAGAACGGGGACCCTTTCATAGAGTAGGAGGCTCCAGCAAAGGACATACTGGGACCAGGCAGACTTGCCAGAACAGGACGCTACAATGACATTAGCCGCATATTCCTCTCTCAAGCGAGATTGGTGGGGAGTGCCTGGCCTGCGTGATGCGGCTGACTAAGACCCAGTAGGCTAGCCCAAACCAGGTCCCAGCACCTGGAGGTGCACCCTAGCGGTGAAGCCTTCAGTAGGGTAGGTTGACTGGGAAGGGCGGGCCCAGCAGAGGCTGCCGAGATCTGTGTCTCCCTAGTACACTGCAGTGGGTGGGAACACCTAGCCGGCGCAATTCAAACAAACTGTAACCAACAAAGAGAAAAAAATTGGGCCTCCTACATTCGCTTGTATGGAAGGAACAAAAAGTATGGGAAGAGGAAGCAACAAGAAAGGGTCCTCAGTCCCCAATCCTGAGAACACTGACCCAAGAAAGGTAAATGCAAAGGAGGACAGAAAACATGCAATATCAGACATGGCACCAATAGACATAAAGCAATATCTCCAGAGCCTCATAGACGAGTTTAAAAATGAAGTATTTAATGAAATAAAGTAAGATATAAATAGAATAGTTAGACAAATGCTAAGCACCGCCCAAGAAAAAACAGATGGTGGAATGGAAGAACAGAAAAAAAAGGGGAGAATTGTTTGATGGAGGAAATAGAGAAAACATAGAATATGTGAAGCAGGTTCAAAGAGATTACCAGGAAACTAAAAACTCTATCAAAAACTGGCATAACAGCTTGAAAGAAACTAAGGATAGATTATCTGAATTGGAGGGCAGATTTGTAATATGGGAGCATGAAATGAAAAACTTCTTAAAAGTAACAAGAAAACAAACAGCAATAATACAAAGGCTAGAAGATGATAAGAGGATCTATAACTTAAGAATTAAGAACATAAAAGAAGAAGTAGGGACACAAAAAATGGACTACAAAAGCTATTCACAGAAATAATCCAAGAGAATTTCCCTAATTTAGCCAAAGGTAAAGATACTCAGATGTATGAGGCATACAGGACCCCAGCCACCTACAACCCAAACAAAGCTATACCTAGGCATATAATAATTAAAATTCCAAAAATCCAATACAAGAACAGAATACTAAAAGCCATCAGAGACAAGAAACAGATCACTTACAAGGGAACACCCATCAGAATTATAGCAAACTTCTTGGCACAAACCATCAAATCACAAAGAACATGGGGGAAAATAATTCAAGCTTTGAAAGATAACAACCTCCAACTAAGATTGATATATCCTGCACAACTGTCCCCAGAAATTGATGGAAAAACAAGGTGCTTCCAGGAAAAAGAGGAACTAGGGGAATTTGCAACCACCAATTCAACTCTACAGAGAATACTACAGGATATTCTAAAAAAGGAAAATACCAAGACTTCAGAAACAGTGGCAGAGAGGCCACAATGAATGGAGCAGAAAGAGAAATGAAGAAGACAAACTGACAACAAATGACAGAAAAAGAGCTCAACAGAAATGAGGCAGAGAAGATTGGATGATAGGAACAGCTATTTTGGAGAAAACAAGACATCACAACAGCCAGTGCTGATTTAGTATCATCTTGCTTTGAAGTCCCATCAAGCTTTTATTCTTCTGTCTCCATCAGTCTTAACAGGTTGTATCTTATTGGATTTTATTATATGTGATAATATAAGCAAAAACTTTTATAGACGAGATTATACAGAAACCATTGTTCATTTTCTGATAGTTGGTTCTAAATATCTTGTAATACTATCATTCTCTTGAATGGTTTTACATTGTCTGATATATTTGGTGCTACAGTATACAAAGTTATACTCAAAGATTTCAAGGAAAGAGACACTATGGTAACTATTTTTAAGTCAGGATATCTTGTGGTGAAACACTATTTTGCTTAAATGGTTATGCTTTGACCTGCACTGGTTTGCTGTTATGCCCTCTTTTATCTCAATCTCCTTTTTTAAAAAAAATTATTTACTTTTTTATTTTTATTTTTTTAATTAAGGGAAAAATAAAAAAGCAGGATACATTATAGTAACCCACTTTGATTTCCTATTAACTTGATTTGAAACCCTGTAGAGCCCTCACCATCTTGCTTTGACTGATTTTCCTCTATTCTGCTTTGCTTGATAGTACCAAGTTCGAAAGTATAGGCAACAACTGTGAAGACAGAAAGATTCATTATGACACCCATCCTGGTCAACTATTATCTTCTTTTAAAGTCCTGTAATGTCTCCAATGTTTTGGTTTTATTCTTTACTATTTTGTTCAATTTTATTATAACTGATGATATAGGCAATTCTTTTTAAGATAGCAAGAGGCAGTATGGTAACCATTGCTGATCACCTAATACTTTGTTTTTACATTATCTATTATGTCCATCCTTTTGATTTGACTGACTCTGTTCTGTTATGGCACATTTGGTTTTACTGTCTTCAAAAAAAAGTAATACGAAATGTGGGAGTAATAAAACCCAAAAAGTGTAATTGTCATTGTACAAAAGAAAGGAAAAGAAAGTGCTCTAAAGAATATAACTGCATATATATTTAAGTGTATAAGATAGATAACCATATTACTGAGTTTGTTGGATCATTGAACAAAACTGTTTCCAGTCTCACTGTTTGAAAGTCCACTTTATATGCTTTAATTTTGTAACTTGAACAACTATTTCTAGTTGTAATATGTGATCTATTAACTAGTGATTTCCTACTGTTTATGTTTTCTGAAATTCTTTATAACTTGTACCCTTTTCCTATTTTTTTTCTTTTTCTCCTTAAATAAAAAAAAATGAGCATGGCATGGTGGCACACACCTATAATCCCAGCACTCAGGAGGCTGAGGGCAGGAGGACTGTTGTGAGTTCGAGAACAGTCTGGGCTACAAAGTGAGCTCAAGGCCAGCCTGAACTGCATAGCGAAACTCTGATGGAGACTACTGTGAAGAGCTCTGAGCATGATTTAAAATTAGCTAACTGGCTTTCTATGCTTATCTGTGAATCTGTCCCAGGCCTAAGCCCCTTGTCTGGAGATAAGCAGCAGATTCATAGTAAGTGAACCTCCACTGGTCCTAGTTGAGGCTTTTAGTAGTCTGTGATGCCAGAGATGCCTCAAAGAGCAAGACAAGACTACAGCTGCAGACATTTGGCTTCAATCCCAATTAACTAGATAGAGACTGAAGCTGCAGGTGTCTCACTCCTGCTGTCCCATTCCCACCATAAATGCCATCATGTAAAGATGGTTCTCCTAAATTGGCATAACTTACTACTTGGACAAGTCTTTGAAGTGACTCCTGAGGTCCTGTTCAGTTCCCATGCTTTCCTCAGTACCCTTTCTCTTTGTTTGAAAACCTAATAAACATGAGCCACCCAGAGAAGCTCTTTGTCTCAGTCCCCAGAATCTTGACCTCTGCCAGAGGGTTTGAACTTTCTGGAGCCCTAAAATCATACCACTTGTCTCATTTAATTTAGCCTTTGCCATATACTTGTTTGGGAGACTGGGGATCTTGGCCAGGTCCCCGTTAAGACCTTGTCTCAAAAAGACAAATAAATAAAGAAGAAAATTTTTTTCCCTCAGATTCAGATGTTTGAATCCAGCATCATCTGGCTCTAAGGCAGGGACATAATGGTGGAGCAGAACTGCTCACTTCATGGTAGGCAGGAGGCAGAGTCTCCACATCACCATGTACATTCTGCCTCCAGAACATCTTTCACCCGTTAGCTTCCTTGCACTCTGCCTCCTGCCTACCATGAAGAAGGGCCAGGAACCAAACACATTCCCCAAGGTCAGGGCTGTATGTGCTTGTAACAGATGGTAGAAAACCAGTTCCCAAGAACAACTGCAACAGTAACTTTTCCCCACAATCTTGATTTGCTGATTACCATTGTGCAAATTTCCCCCCACAGCCAACTCACACTACTAATGGGTTAACGACCAGTTCATATAACACAGTTCAAGAATTCCAAAATTTCCATTTGACAGTTGAGAGTTGTAAGCTGTTAAAGGTGACTATGTCATACCACTGTTGGTTCTAAGGAGAGTGAAAGGTAAACAGCCTTGCGTGGATCCACTGCATATATTGTTACTGTAGCACACACATTGGCACAAAAACCACAGGTACAGGTGTAAGCATACAAATGGACTAAGATTTAATGATGCCACACTTCTTGATATGGTTTCCAGCTTTTTAATACCACAGTAGCCATAGGAGAAGCTGGTGCATCCATAGTGTTGCATGAGTAAATCTAAGTTTAAATCAATTTTCCACTTTCAGCCTGTCAACGCAGACTCAAACATTTTTTTTTTTTTTTTTTTTGGCAGTGCTGAGATTGAGCCCAGACCTCTCCTATCCTAGGCAGGCACTGTTCCCAGGAGCTTGACCACCAGCTCCTAAAGACTTAAAATTTAATTTATTTGTTCACTTAATCTGGAGTAGATAAAGATTTCTCTATTTTTATTTTTTAAATATTTAAATGCAATTCTCATTAAGATTAGGTAGCCCACAGCGATGCATGGTGGCACACGCCTATAAGTTTCAACAGCTGGAGGCTGAGGCAAGAGGATTGTCACAAGTTCAAGGCCAATCTTGGCTACACAGTAAGCTCAAGGCCAACTCACAGTAAGCTCTGTCTCAAAAAACTAAAAAAGCCAGGTATGGTGGTGCATACCTATAATCCCAGCACCGGGGAGGCTGAGGCAGGCTGGGGGTTCAAGGCCTGCCTGGGCTACAAATTGAGTTCAAGGCCAGCCTGAATTGCAGAGTAAGAGTGTCTCAGAAAGAGTCACATACACACATATGTGCACACACACCAAAAAACAAACAAGCAAACAACAACAAAAAAAATCAAAGTGGAACAGGAGGGAGTATTTGCAAGAATAGACTTCTACTTTAGTTTCAACTGTAAACACAGGAGAAAGTAATTCATAGCTGTCTTGTTACAGTATTGAAGTCTGAATTTTGTAGGTAATCATCCTGATCGTTCATTAACAGACCTTTTCATCATAACTGATCCCAAATATTTCCTTTATGCTTACCTGTGATTATTCTGCAGTAACTCTTTTCTAATCCTGAAAAATTCTTCAGTATTCTGTTCGACATGCTCAATTTTGCATCTTAAAGCCCGGTATTTGGCTAAAGATGGTGGGTTGGGTTTGGATGAATGAGTTTCACAGACATTAAGCATGTCTCGTATTAGCTGCAGGTGGAAATGATGGTACAGAGATGTTATAACCACCACATATCAAAATCTTTATGTTACATTTAACACTTCTTCAAAGACAGAGGTAATCAGAGGGTTTTTTTGCTCCTCAAGCTTTTTAATTTTTTTTTTTTTTTTTTTTTTTTTTTTTTTTTTGTAATACTGGGAATTGAAGCCAGAGCCTTTGCACTGAGCTATGTCCCAGCCCTTGTAGTACTCCTGCTTTGACCTCTCAGTTTTGGGAATATGGGCTTACCTTATGATTCTCAGCTTTCCCAAAGCTTCTGACCAATATGTGTTGTCAGTATTAAAGCACATTGAAGTTAATAAAACCTGGACACAATGCCACATGCCTACAGTCACAGCTACTTAGGAGGTTGAGAAGCTTGAGGCCAGCCTGAAGAATACAAAGAGACTCTGTGTCAAAAATAAACAAACTGGGCATGGCAGCATATTGGGAAGCTGAGGCAGGACTGCCAAATTTGAGCCCAACTTGGACAACTTAGTAAGATCTTCAAAATAAAAAAAATTAAAAAGTTGTTTTGCTTTGTTTTGATAGAATCTCAGCTATGTAGCCTAGGATGGCCTTGAATTCACTTATGCAGCCCAGGCTGGCTTTGGACTCAAAGTTATTCTCCTGCCTCAGCCTCTTGGGTGCCAGGATAACAAGGGATAAACACTACCCCCAGCAAAAAAGATTCATTTCTTTCACTTTTTGTCTTTTTGAGACATGATTTAGCCACCCAGTTCCTCGAACTTAGTGATTCTCCTGCCTCAGCCTCCTGAGTGCTGAGATTATAGGCATGTGTCACCACTCCTGGGAACAGGTTGATTTCTTGATGATAGCTATCCTTTCTGGAGTGTCATGGAATCTCAGTGTTTCTCAAATGACTAGTGATATTGAGCATTTTAAAATGTTCTTATTTGCTGCTTATACTCCTTTATCTGAAAAGCATCGATTCATTTCAGATGTCCATTTTTTGATGGGGTCTTTAAATTTCAGGAGTCTGATTGAGTTCTTTATATATTACATATTTTGAGGAACAGCTGGTAAAAAATATTTCCCTGGTTAGTCTCTTCACTCTATTGGCCATTTCTTTTGCTATACAAAAGCTTTTAATAAGATAAGATCTCAGTTGCTGACTCTTCATAATATTTCTTGTATGACTGGGGTTTTGTTCATAATGTCTTTTGCCTACATCTGTGTCATCAAGAGTTTTATCTTCCAGCAGTTAAGTGTTCATTTCAATTTTACTTTGGTGCATGGTGAAAGATATAAATCTGGTTTTAATCTTTGACATGTGGAAAGTCAGTTTTCCCAACATCATTTATTAAAGAGGATATCTTTCTTCCAGTGAAGGTGTTTGGCACTTTTTTCAAAGATAAAATAGCTGAGTGTGCTTAGGGCTGTTTGTGCATTTTTTATGCTGTTCCATTAGGCTGTGGGAGAAAAGAATGAACCTTCCTCTTCTGTTGGTGGGAACAAAAATGGTAAAACCAATATGGAAATCAGTATGGAGATTACTCAAAAAACTAAAACTAGAGATTCCATTTGACCCAGCTCTTCTGCTTAGTATCTTCCTGAAAGAATTACAAGCACCATCACAGTGATATATGCACACCTATTGCACAATTTGTAACAACCAAATCTTGGGAACAACCTAGAAGCCTATCAACAAATGAACAACTGAGAAAATCTGGTTTTTATACACAATAGAAAGCTGCTCTGCTATAAAGTGGCATAAACTTGAGGCATTTTAAAGTAAATGCATATACACCAAAACCCTATTTTAAGCAAAATAAATCAGACAAATATATTTAAGTATTACATTGTTGCTGTTGTATGGGAAACAAAAGCATAAATAAAGACAAAATGGATGACAGATATCAGGAAGAAGGAAGAAAATGTTCAAATGGGAAGGGGAAAATGGGAAGGGGAAAAGGAAAAGAAGGAAAGGAAAAGGAAAAAAATGGAAACTAAGCTTTGTAATTGGGAAGAGGAGGAGGGGTTAGAGGATGGGGACAGAGATGGGGAAAACAGGAATTAAAATATATTATTTACAGGTACAAATTCCCTATGATGAATGTGATCAATAGGCATGACAAATATGTACTAATAAAAAATAAAGTTAAAGGGCTGGAAATGTAGCTCAGTAAAAAAGACCCTAAATTCAATCAACCAACCAACCAATAAATAATGAAATGTATAAAACTGCCCACTGATACCACAGTACAGGGTAACAGTTAAGTGTACAGTGGTAGAGTATCGGAGACCACTACGAAGTGGCTCTGAGCAGGATTTAAATTTTACTAACTGGCTTTCTATGTTTATCTGTTGTTGGGAGCTCGACCGAGTGATATGAGGCCTGTGGTGAGGAGTGAAGCCTGAGCTAGATTGCCCCTCCCGTCGACCGAGTGATATGAGGCCTGTGGTGAGGAGTGAAGCCTGAGCTAGATTACCCCTCCCATCGAGTATGCCAAGATGGCGCCCATTTCCTGCTCCCTAGCTAGTAAACAACACGCCCTGTAAGCTAGTCTGCCCAGCAACAGCTGACGCTGGCCAATCAGCTCGTCTTGCCTACTTTGATGTGATTGGTCGATGTGTCCATATATATGCTGACACCACCCCTGGGGCGAGAACACACACCAAGAAGAGGGACTGCTGAGAGAAGCACACAAGGAGCCGTAGGGAACGGACCAGAGGAGGCTTCCCTCAGGCGGGATCCGAGATCCCGGAACAGGGCGTACGGAGAGAGAAAATAAATCAGAGGCTATCCGCCGACTACTCGTGTCGTGCGTTTTTTCCTGCCGGCCGGGATCGACACCGACATTTGGTGGCCCGTATGGGGAGCTGATCACCCCCGAGGCGAGGCGGACGACGCTCCAGTATTGCTCTGCAGGACAGGTGAGTAGGGGATAAACCTGGGCTCTGGGTGGCGCGCACCTACAGGGCTTTTTAGACTCCCCTCAAGCTCACGTGTATGTGGCAGGTTAGCCTCACACGGTGAGAACGGACTCCTCAGTGACAGGCATGGGCAACTTACCCACTAAGAGTTCCAAGTCACTGGTAAGAGCGGTGAAAGACCTGCTCAAGATTTCAGGTATATCAATGAGCTCCAAGACACTTACGGAGTTTCTCCAACAAGTAGATGAGGCGGCACCCTGGTTCCTGCCGACGGGGCACTTGTCCCTACCTTGCTGGGAGAAATTAGGTAAGGATTTAGAAAGAGCAGAAGAGGAGCGCCGACTCCCACTTTCGGTTCGGCCGCTCTGGGAGATGATTCATTCATGCCTCAAAGGGGAGAGGAATGGGGCTAAGGATAGCGCAGATGGGCTCTCTCAGGCCCGCCGAGCTTTTGAAGGGGCCCGTTCGGAGTCCTCCCGAGAGGGGTCCGTCGCAGGGAGCGTGCGGAGGCGCTCGCGAGAGCGAGGCAAGAGAGAGGTACCCCCTGCCTCGGATTCCTCGGGCTCAGATACCTCGGAAGGCGAGGACAATGAGGCAAGTGACCCCCCTAATCCCTTTGCAGCTTTACGTAGAGACCTAGTCAAGATGCAGACAGACCTAGAGAAGGGAAGGAAACTCCTGAGCACTCCCCAACGGAAAGCCGTAGAGCCTTCCGCGCCACCCTGGGAGGTCCCAAACACCGGTTCCTGTGGTGAGATGGCGGCCTGGGGCCATCCTCCGTCACCCCCCCCATGGAGGGAGTGGCCTGGACCGTTGTCACATGTAGGGCCACCATCTTGTCTGCCTGGCGACCCGCCATCTTGTGCCCCAAAGACTGGTCGGCCATGTTACAAAGAGATACAATTTTGTGATAGGGAGGGACAGACATCTCATGGGGAGGCACCACCCTGTGAAAAAATGCCAAGGTCCCAGGGAAGGTATTTTCGTAGATGGACATTTAGAATGGAACAGATTCCTCAAGGGGCGAATGAGTATGAACAATGTGGGCTTTATCCGGTGCTCCTAGCGCAAGGCCAAGGACCCAATTACTGGGAACCACTGGAGATCAAGCAAATTAAGGAGCTTAAAAATGCGGTTGCCACATTTGGCCCTACTGCTCCTTACACTATAACTATGTTGGAGAATTTGTCTGCCGGTGGCTTTCTGACGCCCAGTGATTGGACCCAACTGGCTAAAGCCTGCCTGGCCCCCGGGGCTTTTCTGGATTGGCGCGCCTGGTATACTGAGTTTGCCGCCGAACAGGCTGAAAAAAATGCGGCTAGGGGCCATAGGGGGCAAAATGAGGATATGCTTATGGGTAAGGGTCAGTACGCTCAAGATCAAACTAGATTCCCTCCAAATGTGTATGAACAGATACATAACATAGGCATCCGCGCCTGGAAGCAGGTAAACAACACAGGGGTGGCCTCACAATGCCTCTCTAAAATTGTTCAGGGCAACACAGAACCTTTTGTGGATTTTGTGGCCAGAATGCAGGAGGCAGCTGACAGACTCTTTTCAGATCCGAGTGCTGCTGCTCCTCTTATTAAACAGTTAATCTTCGAACAGTGCACCAAGGACTGCAGGGCAGCCATAGCACCCCATAAAGGTAAAAACATAGAGGCTTGGATTAAAATTTGTAGAGAAATAGGGGGGCCATTATCCAACTCAGGCGTGGCTGCCCTTTTAGCCGCCGCCTTACAACAGACAGGGCCTCAGAAGACCAATCACCCTGGTAAGCCCAGGGGATGTTTCCAGTGTGGGGATCCCAGCCATATAAGGAAAAACTGCCCCAAGACCGGACAGGGGGAGTTTATATCCAAGAGACAGGAATCAGACAGACGAACGGGAACCTGCGAAAGGTGCGGTAAAGGTTCTCACAAAGCAAAAGATTGCAGATCTATTTTTGATGCCCAGGGGAACCGTATTAGTGGCAGGGAGACTACGGAGCCAAAAAACGGCCAGAGGGGGCCCTCCTTACGGACGGGCCCCCACTCCCTAGACAGGACAACACAAGATGGCACCCCCCCACAGGGGCCACCCCCGGGCCAGC